CCCCAAAACCCCAAAACCCCAAAACCCCAAAACCCCAAAACCCCAAAACCCCAATAAACATCCCAAGGAGATAAGAATAAAAATTATTACTATTTTATAGCTAGTATGAATCCCAAAAGCTATTTGAACAATAAAAAAATTCCTAAAATTCTTGCCGAAGCTAAAGGCAAACCTTTTCGAGGCTCAGAACAAGCAGACATGTATCATTCAAATGGAGCGGAGGTAAGAACTAGGGAGTCTAATTTATATAGGAGAAATATCATCAAGCAAATGATATTTCTAAAGAAAGAGAAATTGAACAATTTATGAATGACTCAATACAGCAAAGCCTGAAGAAAGCATACTCCAAGTATATCAAGAAAGGCTGTCTTGGAAAAATGATTGTTTGATTTGTTTGAGGTCTCAAAAGTTACTTGAGTAAGCCAATATATTTATATTCTAGCCATGGATGAAGAAAATGTCAGTACCAAGATACAAGAGTTATATGCATGAGTCACTTTTTTCATCCTTTCTTTTACTGTATTGGCCGTATGCAGTCGTAAAGCCTTCTATTTAGTTTACTTTGTTCCCTTATTCATAGGCCTTTCAATTGTGATGGCTGTCAATGTTGGGTTAGAAAGCGACCAATATAGGATAAGTGAATATATGCTTGTCACATTCTGAGTTGCTCATAGCCAAATGATTCTTATTCCCAATAAATGGCTGCACTCATGAATTGCTTTTGCAATCGCAATGTTATATTTTGGCTATGGAGTTTGGGTAACTTACGGGCTTACAACTCCAGACATTATTCTTTGAGTTATTATCTGAGTATTCTGGTTTACTGTATCCAGTTACTTCCTATCTCTGAAGACCAGAAACCTATACTCTGAAATCCTCAAAAATAAAAAATTAATTGAGGAGATGAGAAAGATTATTCAGATACTCCCATTAGGTGTAGTGATTTGGCCTTCCAAAGCAGGAGAACAACACTTTGTAAACCACGAATTTTCAAACAAGTTTACTGGCATCGACAAGAGTCTTGAAGAGCTGACTGCTATTGATTTGGAACTAGTTGACCACAACAACCAGGCCATCGAGCAAGAGTTTAGAAATGATTTGGCAAAGTTTTTGAAGGCACAACAGAGACTTGTGAGAAATAAACATTGCGTTGTTGAGCAAAATGCTGAGCTCAAATGCTACTCAAAAGAAGACGAACTGATTATTGAAGATAATGACGACTCTCTAGATAATAAAATTTGAAACATAAAAACCCTCATTATTGATTGGGAAGGAGTTCAATCATATATGCATGTTTTCATTGATAATACGAGCGTTATTAGACTCGAAGAAATTAAAAACCAAATAAAAATGGATGAAGCCAACAATAATCTGAGGCTACAGAAGATCATGTTTGCGAGTGCATCCCATGAGTTTAGGACGCCTCTGAATGCCATTATCAACTCGTTTGGAATTGCGTTGAACTCTTTTTAAAACTATTGACAACACTTGCAAACCTTATTATAATGAATTGGATGACAGCAAAAAGGAAGAAGTTCAACTAAATGTACAAACTTTGACAAAATTCGTGAGGATAGGAAAAAGCTCTTCTGTTTTGCTCATGACATTAATAGAAGATATTCTGAATTTATCCAAAATGGAGGCCGGCACCTTCTTTATAAGCAAGGAAGATTTCAGCCTCCCTGAGGTTCTGGAAGAAATTCAGGATATTTTCAGCATGCAATGTGAGCAAAAGCGAATTAAATTTATTTTAAGCCTATCCAAAAATGTTAGGAAGTTGGTAATGTATTCAGATAAAGGCAGGCTCAAACAAATACTAATGAACCTGGTGTCTAACTCCATGAAGTTCACTTTTGCTGGCTCTATCACTATTGAGTGTAAACTCGTCAGACAAGACAGAAGAGAGTTTGCTCAGTTTTGTGTCATAGATACTGGGGTTGGCATCAAGAAGAAGGATCAGGGCAAGCTGTTTAAACTCTTCAGCATGATCTCGAAGACCAAATCTATGAACAAAAACGGTACTGGAATCGGATTGACAGTTAGCAAAAAGTATGTAGAAGCTCTCGGTGGAGACATTAGTTTGGAATCAGCTCCAGGAGTGGGAACCAGCATTACATTTAAAATCCCAATAAGCGAAGAGCCAAATAAAGAACATTTGTTAAAGTCAGATAGATCGGTTTGGTAAGAAGGCAAATTTTAGATATTTTTTATTATCTTATCATTTGAGAATTTCTTAAGAAAACTACCACTTACACTCATATTTAGAAGCTATTTCGAGAGCGAATTTGAGATTTGAGACGAAGGCCACCACAATCAGAATCTTTCCTTCAACCCTGAGATGTGCTCAAAAGGAAAATTCATGAACCTATAAATAGTAGTTTCTGGATGATTACAAGTTAGCTAAAACAAGAGGGTTCCATAATGAGTAAATAATTTTTGTTATAACATTATTTGATATTTCAAGTGCTCATATCAAGAATGGGGTTTTGGGGTTTTGGGGTTTTGGGGTTTTGGGG